ATTTAGCCTTTTTCAGAGAATGATTTTTTTTTTCGATTGGGGCCCCGTCGACCGCCCCCCCCCCCGCGATTAACGCCGATTTTGATCAGGTATATAAGCGCCCTGATTTTGATTGACAAAATTGCGCGCCTGCTAATTTTTTCAAACATTACGCGCGCGCGTGCAAATATTTCTCCACGAGCCCAGGACCACGCGCGCAAACAAGCGCACCACAAATTGCTTTACATTGCGCGCGCGCGGGACAATTTCTCCAAATTGCGCGCGCGGGACAATTTACATTGCGCGCGCAGGACAATTTCTCCAAATTGCGCGCGCGCTGGACAATTTCTCCAAAATTGCGCGTGCGCGGGCAACATTGGGTCGAAATTGCGCGCCGGAGATCTCCGGCGCGCGGTACAAACTTTCCAGTCTGGCCTTCTTGTAATATCCCATCTGTCAATGGAAACCCTTGAATGGTTGTCAAGTTGTCATGTAAGCATACAGGGGTTGGGAGGGGGGAGGGGGTCAGCAGCCTCCATTTTGTCAGTAAGTGTCATGTATGATATTAATGGTAAATAAACAAATCTGCAAATTGTATTATTCTTACACTTACCTACACAGGCACACAACATTCAAGATATTATCATTTGTATTCTTATGCACAAAATTTTATGTTTTGGCTTTGGGTAGGATATTTAATTAAACTCTGACTAAACTAAAGCTATTGTACACTGTATCCTGTGTCGCTGCAAGAAGCACATTTCTTTCATTATTATCATAATTGTTTTAATTAAGGAGTGAAGTTAGTCACGTGAGCACAAGTGTGGACAGAGATTCGTCCAACACAGTTATATCTGTCCAAGGAATGTCACCAACGAATCATGGAGAAGGACCAAGCACATTAACAACGACCCCAACTGGAGATTTTGATTGGTTGTACGCATCATGGTTGTGTGATGAGGTAGATCTTGCTGGTTATGAAAGCATGAGTGATGTGGAAATGGAACTAGGCCCAAATGACGAGTCTTCCAATTCCCAGCATTCCACTGTGTCACTACCTGATATACTTAAAAAACTATCCAGTGCTATTAATTTAGATTCAATATCAAAATTCAACATTAGTCGCAGCCATGTATGGGAGGGGACAGTAAGAGCTCTAACAAGAAAATCCTTTTCACCCCATAATAAGGTTTCTGTCAAGTTTTGCGATGATGTTGGTACATCAGAAGGGGCCATAGATTTGGGGGGACCCAAAAGGGAATTTTTTACCTTGGTTCTAGATTGGTTAATGCATTCACAGCTTTTTTGCGGCAGTGATAGTTCTAAGTACTTTTCATGTAATGCTACCTCTCAAGGTAACAATGACTGTTTCCATGCTGGAGAAATAGTAGCAATGTCTCTTGTTCATGGAGGTCCTGGTTTTGGGTGTCTCTCACCAAGTCTTTATCAGTGCATTGTGGAAGGCCCTAATAACGTTCTTGTAAATGCGAGTGATGTATATGATGTTGAATTAAGATCTTCTTTAGAAAAATTATTAAATGCCAAGAGTACTGATGAGGCAAATACAATGATTGACAGGCCTCTTCTAAGTACACTCTTAGATCTTGCAGGAACTTTCAAATTTGTGTCATCTTTGGATGAAATCCCAACACTAGTTCAGCAAACTGTTAAATGGTTCTTACTTGGCAGGTCACATTTTTCACAAGAGCAATTTGTACAAGGGCTGTCTGTGTTAGGAATTTATGATTCTATCTTAAAGAATCCTGAATCATTCCGCCCAGTTTTTTGCTGCTCACCTCAGCAACTTAATGCTGAAGTCATTTCGCATCTGTTTGAAACTAATTTTAGTGAGGTTGGCTCTAATCGGCATTGCTCTGAATCACTGGTCATATCACATTGGAATGATTATTTGTTGGATGTTGAAGAGAGGGCAGAAACGGAGGTCACATTCAATGATATTCTGTTTTTTGCTAGCGGATGTAAAATTATACCACCATTTGGTATAAAACTGTCTTTAGAGTTTCTACATCATGCTGAAAAAAATGGTGAAATGTCCAAATTCCCAAAGGCTAACACATGTGCTTGCATTCTTTATTTACCTGTCACCCACAGCTCATATGATAAGTTCAAAGAGGCCCTTTCGTTTGCATTTCTTAACACCCGTGGGTTTGGTGAGCCATAACCTAGCAGAGTATCAACATTTGAAATTGCAAACTTACAAACTTGAATAGTTACATAGCAAACATACAAACTTGAATAGTTACAGTTTCCAGACATTGATATTGTATAGAGTAGTTATGTATTAGTATATCATACAGTATTATATAATAATACCTTGGAACTTGGTAGCTGTACAATTTTGTACTGCAGTGAACATGGGTGGTGTGGTGCCAATACAAATCAAGAGATGAAAAAGCCTGATATTTATATTTTTATATATTGTAGGTCTCAGTTTTTTTTGTAGCAGTTCTAATCATTGTCGTGCTACTGGGTACAATGAGAATCTCAGATGAACACACTGAGAAACAAAAGTTTGAGTTAATGAGACTTTCAAATAAAATTGAGTTCTTGTTGAGGTTTCAACAGATGTTTTGACCACTAAGCCTCATTTTTGTTATAACGGTAACATGCAAGTGAACAGGAAAGGTTTGGTGGTAAGAACACTAACTTGCTTGTGAAAACCCCCCATAAGCTTGGTCAACCTCGTACCCAGGGCCTGCCCGCCCTATAAAATCAGGCGGGTAATCCCTGGGTATGAGGTTGAAGCTTAGCCCCATTCTTTCTGGAAATATGCCATGCCACCTTATCTACCTACCTTACATAATTTGTAATATGTTTAGTTGTTCATATTTGTTAAAGATTTCTGTTAAAATAAAGGTCATGTCGTACCATGTTGACATAAAGAATGCTTTTTGTTGTCCCGTTTTAACCAGTTAATGGAGACCATTGACCAATAGCAGGGGGGGGGGAGAGATGATGACTGATGAGTTTCAGATGTAATAATTTCATTGGTTTGTCTATTTTAAGTATTGGTTAATGTTTGATGACATTGGTGTATATAGAATAAATTATTAATAATAGTATAACAACAAGTTTTAGAATGAAAGTTCAGTATTTCGATTTGAACCCTTTTCCATTAACGCACCTTGAAGTTGAATGCATACAAATAATAAACAAATCCTGCTCCCTCACTAGCCACATAGAGGAAATGCAAAACTGAACTATGTACTATAGCAATAATCAAACATCAACTCCATTGTTTGCCACAGTGACTAGATGTGTGTAAAGCTGCAATGCTTCATCCCAATTTGATGGTTTAACGAAGTCCGTTTGCGATCTTGCATATTCAAAGTATTCCTGATACATGTTGCTTTCTGGGTCCTCGCAAAATTCCTGCATGTCATTTATCTGCTCAATCGAAGCATTCTGTAAGAATTTACTACCGCCATGATTGACAGGAAGATGATATAGCTCATCGGGGCGGCCTGCTACGGTGTCAAACCTCGATCTTCTCACATAGTGACTATTCCAGTGGTCCTTCACTTCGTCAAAATCATGTTGGAGTAGATCAGAAAAACAATACCACAGACATTCCATTTGTAATTCATTCGATGTGTCAATATTACCAATTTCGACCTGATCTTTGAAAAAATTGATCCACCATGATGATCTATTGCGACGTAGAAAAGACCACCAATTTTCTATTCTTTGATTTGAATGGGAGGAGCCATAGTTGTGGGCATTTATACCAGCAAATTGATCATGAGCTCCGGAACGGAAGTAACACTGCATGGCGGCCATAGTACCATTCTCGGTACCACAGTCTGTTCTAAGCAAAATCGGACAACCACTAACAGAGCGCACACATTCCAAATAGAATCCTGCAGTCACAGCAGGATCATTATTCGTTCTGCAAACCTTTAACCATAAAATACGTCGGCTGAAGCCATCAATACAGCCATGCACTGGAAAGCCGTAAGACTTGAGCTTATCGTATCCGTCAACGTGCCACGCGAAATTCGGACCGGGATTGATGTAACGACGACGTTTTAAGCGATGTGAGCGCCGGTCATCTGATCCCTCTGGATCCAGCGCCCGAAGGATGCGCTGCACCATGCTTCTCGGTGCTTGAATGTCATATTTCAAACGAAGGCAATGCCACATTGATCGATAGCCACGTAAGCAACCTGGGCCATTCAGTTCCTCTCGTATTGCCGCGGTAACTTCTTCCTCGTCAGCATCAACATTTCGCCTTTTTAAACCCATGTTTTGCAACCTGCTTTTCAATGTTCGTAGAGACATTTCAATGTTATGGAACTTCCTTAAAAATGACAAGATAGCCGAGTACTCGAAACCTCTCATAAAGTAATGTGCGATAATATCTATCTCGGTCAACATATTTCCACAGTTTGGACAGAATTGAAAAGTATCAGATACATCCGATCCGCAATTTTGGCACTTGAAGTTCATTATTTGACGTTAATTCAAAGCTTTTTTCAACATTTTTATTTGTTAAATCGACTTTCTATACCTTTAAATTTAATCTTTCTTTGCATTGTGATGACAGTAAGATGGCGGAGTAAAAAAACATCAGTGGCGGTCAGACCGGCTGGTCATGCCACTTTCCCGCGCTTTCCCGTGAAAGTTGTGCATCGTGAATTGAGTTTTATGTAGTGGAATAGAGTTTTGTGTAGTGGAATTGAGTTTTGTGTGTCGTGAATTGAGTTTTGTGTAGTGGAATTTTGTTTTGTGTATTGTGAATTGAGTTTTGTGTAGTGGAATCGAGTTTTGTGTAGTGGAATTTTGTTTCGTGGAGTGGAATTTTGTTTTGTGTAGTGGGTTTTGTTTTGTGTAGTGGAATTTTGTTTTGTGCAGTGGGATTTTGTTTTGTGCATTGCACTTGTGGGCCACCGTAGAAAATAGCGCAAACAAGACAAAATCAAGATATTTTCAAAGCCCAAATGTGAAAATGGCAAAGAATAACACGAGGCCAAACGCCGCCCGTTCGCAGGTTAGATGCGGGCACGATGTAAACAATTGATGTAAACTGATCGCTGATTGGCTTAAATTGTCTTAAATTATATAAGCCCGTCGCTGAATGGCTACGTGCTAACATACGGTACGGTACGGTACGGCACGTTTGCGATAGCATATATATCCGCTTCGCAGATACAATAAAGGGATAAGTGTAGTTTGGCCACCCGACTCGCATGACCTATCAATGGAAGAAGCAACCAAACCAATCCCCTCTAGATTGTTTAATTTTATTGCTTGGATGTTAGGGTTTTCAGTTAAACCAGTTGCAATCGAAACTTGTAAGGTTGTTTCGATTGCACAAGATCTCGTTTATATACCGTCAAAAGGAAAAAAGTTTACGCACAAGTCACTAGCACTCGCAATGGCCACTCGCCACATTACTGGTTCTGTTAAGCTTGTTAAGATTCTCCATGGTTTAGGGCATTGTGTTTCTCCAGCAACAGTATATAAACATGACTCAGCGTTAGCTTTAAGTTGTAATAATACTGATCAGAATTTAATTATTCCCAGGAATATAAATCCAGGATCATTTTCAACCATAATATGGGACAACAATGATTTTAATGAGGAGACAGTATCGGGAAAAGGAACTACTCATGTTGCCAATGGTATAATTGTGCAAACAAAATCCAGTGACACACGATTATTACCGAAAATGGAAGTTAGCAAAACAGTACGCACTATCAAACCTCCAGAGACAGATATTCTTCCTTATTTGTTGGTCAAGAAAGGACTGCCGTCTTTATTCAGTCACAAAGACGAATTAGTCTTGGATAATAACAGTCATCTCCAACATCAGAGTGATGGAAGAATATTTGATTTTGCATATATTTTGTCCAAATTACACCCTGCACGCAATGGAGTAATCTTACCAAGCTGGACAGCGTTCAACACCAAGACAAATCAGACTATACCAACGCAGTCAACTATTGGATATTTACCTGTTATTGATGCCTCCGTGACAGATTTAGCAACCGTTAACACCATTTTGGGACGGAGTGTCTTAATTTGCAAAGAACTGCAGCTACCACAGATTGTGCTAGTGTTCGACGAGGCAATATACGCGAAAGCACAAATGATTCGATGGAATCATGAAGAATACCTCAATAAGACTGTCATTAGATTAGGTGATTTCCACACTGTGATGTCGTATTGTACTGGAATTTCCAAAATTTTCAAGGATGCAGGCTTAACGGTATATAATTACATAATATAGTGACAGGTTTATATTAAATATCTTGCTGTAGATTGTTGACAGTACATTTGACTATATTCATGATGTCTTGAGACATCAAAGAGTTTTGCCTCGAAACCAATACATTAGACGAGTTATACTGCAACTTTGATGAATTTAACAAAAAATCTTGCCAAGAAAATCCAACATTTGCATTCTGGTCGGTATACATTGAAATGGTTCAAGTACTTCTGTTATACATTAGAGCAACTAGAACACCCGACTTGGCCTTGCATCTTTCTGCTCTAAGATCTATGATCCCTTGGTTTTTTGCTACCGACCGCATCAATTACGCACGATACTCCCCCTGCTACTGGTTAGAAATGTCTTGTCTGGACGAAACACACCCGTGTAAGTGTATTACTGGCAATAAATGAAAAGTTAGAATAATGAGTTAGGCAGTTACTTTACCTTACCAAACATTGATTAGGACAAGTTGTTATCCAGTGTAGGTAATGCATGTTGTATACCCAAATTATCAATTACTTTATTCTTCAACTTTTTAGACGTTTCGTTCAACATTGCAAAGAACTGGACTGTACAGAGACAGTCAAGCTATGGATTTTCAAGTGTCGCATGTGACCAAACTATAGAACAAACGCTAAATCGCGACTCTAAAGTGAAAGGTGGGCTAGTAGGCATTACTCTTAACTGTGGGGCTATGCATCGATGGATACTAGGACAAGCAGAACGAGCAGTAATCATGCGTCAATGTGAATCGATGGCAAATGTATCTGATATCCCCAGGTGAATATAATGCAAGAAAATAAAAAAAATTACAATATAGTATGCATTCATATGAACAGAAAATGAATAAATTAAACTTGCATGTTCATTCACATTTCAGAGATAGAAAGGACTTGGACAAGACAAGGATAAAATCTGACGAAGATGCGGTAGTAGAAGTTATTCACACAATCGACGCTTTTGTTAATCCCTTTGAAAATGATCATACCGAACTCGTCCATCTTGCAAGTGGAAAAGTAGCCACAAATGCTGTTGCATCAGACATGACAAACATGTTCGAAAGAGGCGAAAAAGCTGCCTTGGATTTCATGAACACGAAAGTTCTATGTAGCAAACCTGATATATACGCTGCAATTAAGAAAACTAATCTGAAGACTTTTTCTCAAATGAGCACAAAGGTGAACAGCAAAAATAGGAAAGGAGACGTTGTAGCAGTAAAGAATTCAAAAAAGCTGTTTGCCAAAATGTTGCTCATCGCCAGAAGCAGAGACGTAGATATGAAAGAGGTTCTTCAATGCTCATTAAGACCATTCCCACTTCCTTTGGCTACATCTGATGGCAATCTTGTAAAAACTGCGAAGTCAAAGCTATTACATCTTATCGAGAACAGGACTACTGATCACTTACTTGATAGAATTGAAGGCGATAAAGTTCTATACTGGATGCTATGGCAATACTTCAAACCATCAAAATTACCCCATCTACATTTGGTGAGCTTGCCCATAAACTACTTGTCATGGTTGTGGAACTAGCCGTGAAGTCGAAAGCGAAAAGAGTTGATTTTGTATGCGATCGTTATCCTGCCCAGAGCATAAAAGACTTTGAAAGGGCAATACGTGGTGAAAGAGGGACACAGCTGATTAAAATCTACAGTTCCCTCCAGAACGTTCCTCGCCAATGGAAGAAATTTATAACGGCTGGAGAAAACAAGGAAGAACTGATAAAATTTCTTTTTAAATCCTGGAGTGAAGAGTGTGATCCACAGCTGCTGCGAGGTGTAGAAGTTTTTATCGCACACGAAAGCCAGTGCCATCAGGTTGTTGCCTTGCAAAATACAATCGCATGCCACGAAGTAGAAGATCTTGCCTGTGACCACGAGGAGGCGGACACGAGAATGCTCGCTCACGCAAAGAGTGCATCCGCAGAGTATTCCAGTATCATTATTAAAAGTCCGGATACGGACGTATTTATCATAGCCTTAAATGCTGGCTTGTCAATTCGTGCTGATTTATATTTCGAGACGGGATCAAAAGATAAAAGGCGGATAATATCAATTAGTAAGGTTAAAGAGAACTTGGGAGATCTATGGAGTGCAGCATTAATTGGTTTTCATTCTTTTACAGGTAACACTTTTAATTTTAAATTTGCTGCTCGACCATTCTCCGAATGAAAAATTAATTAATTAATATCCTTCTTTAAGGTTGCGATACCACAAGCGCATTCTTTGGAAAAGGAAAGTCTTCAGCGCTTAAAATTGCGATGGAAAGCGAAGAATACGCTCTGGCATTTTCAAACCTTGGAAATGAATTGGATGTACCAAGTTCTATGAAAGCTGTCTTAAAAACGTTTGTGTGCCATTTGTACGGCGCTGAAAATCAGAGTGATGTCAATCTCGTTCGTTACTTACTGTTTAAAGGAGGAAAATTTGACGAGGAATTATTACCACCAAAACGAGGATTCTTTGGAGCAGCATGTGAAGAAGCGAGCGAATTTCCAGTGTTTTATTTGGAGGCGTGCAACGAACTCCATGATGGTTGCACCCAGTTTCTCTGGACACGGATGGGAGATCGATAACATTGGACACGTCACATAACATGGATGACTTTGCCTCCAGCACCTGACTCCGTACTGGACTTTGTTAACTGTAAGTACAAGACCGGTTGCATCAATAACCGTTGCTCTTGTAAAAAAGCTAACTTGAAATGTTTCGAGCTTTGTAACTGTAGTAATTGCCAGAATGGTGCCAATGGAGATACGGACACAATTGAGGATGTTGATTCTGACGACACATATAATCCAGTTGATAGCGATAGCGATAGCAGTGTAACTGAGTTCTAACTCTTCGTGTCAATTAGGCAATGTTCAAACATTACAATTTTAAAGTGTATGCGCCAAAGTACAAATGTACGAATTAATATGTTGGTTAAGGTGGCTGGCTACCCACACTTTTTAAAAAATGGAAGACTCGTAACAATGTTATTCCGCATGACATAATTCTTTAAAAGTCATAATAATGATTCAAAATACTAAACGAATTCGTTTTATGAAATAAAAAATGGGGTAACCGACCTTATTTGCAAGTTAAATAACTTTAAACCCAAAATACCAGCCATATTGAAGCGTCATTGTTGCCATAGCAACGACAGTGGCGATTCCTTTTGTTTTCGAAAAAATCAAACTCTGTAGTCATTATTTTTCTAATCGGACTTTTCTGTCTTTTAACGGATAGGAATTGTTGAAAAATGGGGTCTAAATCGGAGATCTTCCATTTTCTTGAGAATTGTAGGGAGACTTTCACATAAGGTTAATTATATTTAGCAGACGGTAAAGATAATATAAAAAAAACTTTACACATTCATTCGTGGCAGTCTTGACATGACTAATTCTGTGTTTATTGTGAACAATCAAAACTTACATCGGAAATGCGTATAGAAGCAAAAACGAGGCATATCAGAGAAAACGCCTATTATATAATACTATAATGACGTCATCATTTTTGCAATGTTTTTAAAATCTGTGAAACAAATCGAATCCATTTGGTTTATTTTCTTTACCTTTCATCAACCATCATTTCGTAATGATTTACTAAAGATTTAGCTATTACCTTTAGAATTTTAGGCAGTAAGCAATGATTTTTACCAAATCATATTTTGCTGAGGTCAGCAAATTTTAAATCGTCTATAACGGTGAAATGAAATAGGCCGTAGAATGAGCATCCAAAAGATGCTTAGAAAACGGATTCCGTTGCACCCCTCGTGTAACTACGTAATTTTCACATGAATAAATAGATAAAAACTTACCTTATCAGAATCCGTTGCTCCCCAAGCGAAACAGGTGCACAATTGGGAGAAAAATCCCTCCAAAGTTTGCATGGGCGTACCGGAAGGAAAAATTTAGGGGGGCGGCAAGAAATTTGCCCGACTTTTCCGGATTTTGCCCGACAACTACCGAAAATTTTTTTTCCGGAATTTGTTTTGGCGACCTCCCCCCCCCGGAACCTACAAAATTTATTGTCCGGAACCTACAAAATTTTCGGAAATTTCACAAAATTTTCCGCAAAATTTACAGAATTGGTCCCATTTATTTTTTTAATTAACCAAAATTGCCCGACTGTTCAGCGAATATTGCCCGACTGCCCAAAAAACTGGGGGGGGGGGGGCTACCGCCCCCCCCCCGCCCCCCGCCCGGTACGCCCATGAAAGTTTGATATTTTCGCGCTTCGAAATATTCGAACCGCCATTGTTTTGATAGCAAATACGCATGCGCAACTCACCCAAACTCGCACTGCGCACGCGCAGAACCGACGCACATGCTTCGAAGTGGAAACACCGCTCAGTTATGCAAATAAACATGGCTGAAGATATCTATAAAACTCGACTATCCTCATGTTTTATGCATTTTCTTGGCGTTACGGAGCAACTTTGCAAAGTTACACGCCAAAGACTTAAGAAATTTCTTGAGCCTAGGTCAAAATGGGCCAAACTTAAATGTCAACATGCTGAAATAGCTAAGAAATCGTACGAAAACATCGATGACGGATCTGTCAATTCATACATGGAGACAGTGGCGTAACTACTATGGGCTCAGACCGGGTGAACCCGGGGGCCCCCAACCCAAATGGGGGCCCCCAGGCTTAGGCGATAGGGCAAAAAACATTGGCCAGGGCCTCTGATATGTTACAATGTCGTTTTATGACCATCAGAATTCTGTAAAATCTCTCCCCAAAGTCCAGGAAATGGCATTTCAGAGAGTCTAGATTAAAAAATTTTCCGAATGACCATGTCCTGGACCCCCTAGAAAACTCGTGCATATACGGCGCTCGACTCGTGCCTTTGGCACTTCTACTAGGGGGGGGGCCTTCGAAAATTTTGAACCGGGGGCCCCTTGATGTAACGTTACGCCACTGCATGGAGAAGAACCCTGACACCATTAACTTAGAATGGAACCATCATATGAAATGCTGGAAGAGATTTTGTGATGAAGAGAAGATCTGTAGATAACAGAGAAAACAAGAAAAAGGAGAAGGAACTAGCTGTAAAACTGTAACTTCTACCGAAGAATCACACGAGGACGTAGAACAAAGGCGAAAAATTACACGTCAATCAGTCGCAGAAGCTATAAATATACGCCCTGCCTAAAATAAACGCGCATGTACTCCCAAAGATATGTATTATTTGTGGAAGAGACGCCTCGTGGTTCTCACTAGACAAGGTATGGTCATTTTGATAGGTATAATACTAGCGCAATGTGCACAACATTCTCAGGTTTGGTTTTAAAATATATTGAATTTTGATCAATTAAGTTTATTTAGGGTAAAGTAGTTTCTATGCTACAAACATCCAACCTTGTTATTAGTAGATATTTAGTTTAATAATTTATTTTGTTTCATACCAGGCAACTAAGAAGAGAGGAAGAACCTCACTCACGTTGGCAGAAACAATTATGCTGGTCTTCTTCGTACAGCTGCCGAGAGAAAGAATGATCAACGGATACTCGTGCAAATCCATGGGAAAGACTGTGTAGCTCTGGAAATCTGCTATCACAAAGTTTGCTACTGCAATTATACAATATTTCTCACCAGAGAGACGAAGAAGCAACAGGAGCATCAGTGTACGAGAAGTCTTATGATGTATTCTGTAAAAAAGTAATTGAGATGGAGGTCATCGGAAATAAGCAAATAAAGTATATGAAAGATTTGCTGGAGAAATTTGTTATCATTGCTAAGGGCACTGAGAATGTGGATGCATCTAAATATAGAGCTTTTAAACTCAAGCAATGACTGATGAAAAGTTATCCCCAACTTGTGTTCTGTGTACTGAAAATGAGAAATGTTAGTGAGATTGTATATGTGGAAAATTTGGATTCTTCTGAATTGGTTGAGGAACATATGTCAATTAAGGGCCTGTTTATATGGAAGTTGGGCTGGCCCGCTTAGCGAGACAGCCCGGTAAGTGGGATGAATTTCTCTTGTGTTTATATGAGAAACTTTCATCCCGCTTGCCGGGACAATTTTGTTACATTGCATTGTTTTGACAGTTACGTTGTTAAAAATAGCTTGCGGCGGTATCTTTGAAGTTTCATCCCGACAACCAGGATAGCCCCCTTGTGAATGTTTATATGGAGAAATTTCCATCCCGGTAAGCGAGATCTAGCCTCTTTCAAACGACATCTCGGCAACCGGGCCAGCCCGCTTTTCCATATAAACGCACAATAATTTTTACTATAAAAGTAACTACACAGCGAGATCTCGCTTACCGGGCTGTCTCGCTTATCAGGCCGGCTTCCATATAAACAGACCCCAAGTCTGAAAACAATGATGAGGACTTTGATGAAGAGAGCTGTACCATTGATTATGATGATGTGAATTCCAACACAGAAACTGAGGGAAATTCTAAAGTCAATGAGTTACAAATTCTATACAATGCTGCATTGATTCTTCACCAAAAGGTGCAAGAAATACCAAAACTGAATCTTCCTTGGCCACCATTGGCATCTGATTTGACAAGGGATAATAATTCAAATCCGACTATGAGGTCAGGAATAGACTAGATTTCAAGTCCACACAATTTGATTACGTCCGAGGCGAAGCAGAGGACTGGATCAAAATGTGAGGACTTGAAATCTAGTCCAGTCCGAATTGGAGGATTTGAAATGACATCCATACGAATAAATCACTACTTAATTAATTTTGATCCAGTTCAAGGACTGAATGAATTTTAATCCAGTCCTACAGTAGGACACTACAGGATCAATATACTTCATAAGGTATCTAGTATTATCATGTGAGCAAAATAAAGCAATGTGGTTGGCTAATTTGCTCGTGAATTATTAATGATTTGAGGCGAACAATGGTGGTAAGTCACATATAATAGGTATTATCAGTGGAGTAGATCAGTATTTATTTACTTATTCGATATTCTCAATCGGATCCACAGTATTTATATTATCAACACATATATCCCTCTCATGGACAGGGTAAAGTATGGTCATGTCTGGGAAGCTAAAATGCACCCTGGTGGAGGAGCTGAAACGCACAGCAGCAAATGTATAAGAAAAAGTCAACTAGTGTGGACACAAAACACCAGGCTGAATCGTTCCTTGTTATTCTAGATAGTGGCTAAATACCAACTTATGTCACAATATAAAAATAATACATGTAATAGTTCAAATAGAAGAAGTAGAACTTTACCAGACAAAAGCCAGGACAGCTTATTGCAGAATACATGCAATCTCGTTTTGAGCGTACAAGCCCTTGGCCAGGATCCAATAAGTGGGATTTTATTGCTCTGATGAAAATCTGAGTTCAAAGATGAAAAAATTTCTTTCAATTATAGATAGCTATAATGAAATTATGGATTTTATATTTTCTCCCACAATTTATCTTTTTTATTATGAATTTCAAGTTTATATAAATATCCCTTAAAGCCCAGGATGAACTGGGAAACACTGTTTGTCATATTATTTGTCTTTCCAATCTCTCGGTATGTCATATTGTCTTATTAGCGTCGGCAAACGGATAAAGAGTGTTTTATGAAATGCTTCTGAATTTGGTAGGAAATAATTTGCTTTACGAATATTATATCACGAATATTTCCGCGACATTATTTCTTACGTTTGGCCAAGGCTGCAAGTTTACCGAAATATTTCGTTTGTTCCTTGATCGTGTGAATTGTATGTATATATATATATATACTATATACTTTTTATTCTTCGTCCTGTTTGATATAGGTGGGTTTTTACCTCACGCAAATTTGTATTGAATTAGGATGTTAATATAAAGTAGAATTAAACGTTAAAACGGTATTTTGAAACAATAGCCAATGAATTGAAGTGATTTAGCCATAGATATAGGAGAACTCCTATATCTATGGATTTAGCATATGAGCAAGCAAAATATACAATGTATTTTTAACAATATTTAAAGTGGGTGTATTTATATTACAAGGTTATCAGTATTGGTCAGTATTCCGTGATTTTATTTTGTTGTTTTTGTGTAGGAAATCGGGGAAACCCTTGGAACCCCCCCCAGTGAGAATCTATTTTTATAGTCTGCGCGTGCGCAGTGCGAGTTTGGCTGAGTTGCGCATGCGTATTTGCTACCAAAATAATGGCGGTTCGAGTATTTCGAAGCGCGAAAATATCAAACTTTGGAGGGATTTTTCTCCCAATTGTGCAACTGTTTCGCTTGGGGAGCAACGGATTCTGATAAAGTAAGTTTTTATCTATTTATTCATGCGAAAATTACGTAGTTACACGAGGGGTGCAACGGAATTGCATCTTTTGGATGCTCATCCTACGGCCTAAAAGAGATTAGGAGCGGGAACTCTTCGGATTCGTACTCAGCGTAGTTGAAAGTGGTAAGTTATTATAAAATTATTTAGTTCCACGGGGTGCACTACCGAATTTGTATTCTAGGCCGTTTTTAGCCTCACAGCAAACGGCCTAGATCGGGCGATGTAATTAACGTGTAAATTTCGTATGTGGAAAGTTTGATACTGCATGTCTAAAAATAGATTTTGCACAAGGTCTGTCTGTCATGGAATATAAGTGCTCCTTTTCGCAATAGTTGGTGGTCATTGTGGCCATGATACTAGAGTTAAAAACAAGTCATCAGAACGCGTTCAGTTGTTAAGTGCATGTAATCATGATATTACAGGGCATAAATCGTCAGTAGGACTGATTGATATTGAGGGCGAAGTTGACTTGATTTTGGCGAGGGCGTCTATGTTTACAGCTCCGGAAAACATTGAGCAATTCCTAATATGTCCTGCACATCGATCTACTCTTGGAACAGGGTGGAAACAGGCAGAAAATGAGAAATGCAGAATTCCTGTGATTCTATCACGCCATAGCGACGAGGTGCGAAAGAAGCCAAGAGGAGAAGCAAAACGTGGTTTGAGTAAAGCTCATCTTGTTCTGCGCGAGACTGGAGTTTTTCTTCCCGTGGGTTCAGGCATAGAATAAGAAATGAATAGAATGGCAACTGAATGTCGGATCCTTTGAAGTCGGTGTCCTCGCGCATGCCGTGTCGCGCATACCGGAAATTCGACGGCGGCCATTACTCTGGCCAGTAACTTGCAGCTGGAATCGATATAAAATATATGGAGTGAGAGCTGTGATTTGTTTTAAAATTGACATTTTGAGGATATTTGCTTATAAAATTAGATCCTCCTGGCAGCCCCACCACGATTATGGAACAGTCTTCCTCTTAGCATACGTACAATTAGCTACTTCTATTGAAATTTTTAAAAAATCTCTCAAAAGTATCTTTTTCAACAAAGTTTTAATATATATATATATATATATATATATATATATATATATATATATATATATATATATATATATATATATATATATATATATGTATATATATATATATGTATATATATATATATATATTTTATATATACAGTTTTAATATTAATTTTATATATATATATCATATCATATATAATATCATTATAGTATTAGAAATATGTCCTTGTATATAACAATTTCTCTTTTTGATCAATTGCGATTATTGATCAAACATTGTAAATTGGGCTATATAAGTATAAATTTATTATTTATTATTGGATCAATAATGCTTCGGTAATTTTCCGTTCTACAGATCCTTTTGTTCTTTTTAAAACCTTAACAAACAGTTTAGGTTTTTGTCCGTAATGTTGGTCGAGATAGTCTTTCGAGAAAGCCATGTTTTTATAAGACTTTGCTTTCGGATTTGCTGCGGAACAAAATGTTCTTGGTATCGAACCACCAAGGTTTCTATAACAGCTAATGCATCCGTGTTGGATGCATATTCTTCGCGTTTTGTACAGATGTGGAGTTCTTATTGATGATTGTAAGTAATGGGTAATAAGTATTGGGCCAGGCCAGCGATTTGTTCGAGAAAAAGTTAGAAGTATTGATATTCGCTTACGAATGACTATAATTTCTATGTGTACTTGCAGTACTTTCGTCACGAAACTATGAGGAAAGTCATTATGCTCGGTGGCAACTTGCAGCAATGTCTAGTTATAATGTTGGGGTCAGGTGTCAATTGGGACGCAAGTCCTGTTCCTTTCCTCAGTCACACTTGTGTCCTCTGTTTATTGTACATGCATGCGTAATGATTGTGTTGTGACAAATGATTAAATTAAATGATCATATCACCATATACTGTACATTTATTTATTTAACTTCGCCATTATCATGCATTCATGGCAGGGTCACCACAACAGTATGGTACCAATTACTGTGGGCCCTTTAAATAGATAACAAGACGCTTGACAGAGCGTTAACTCGCTGGGGCTCTAGAACTTGTCCCCTGTTGCAAAATTGCCGTGTCCGCGTAGCGAACGGAAGTGACCCAACAAGGACAAAAATACCATTGTTCGAATCAGCGTACGAAATTGTACTTACGGATGCCAAATTCATTACTAAACAGCAGTATTCTAGAGATTTATGGCCTTTGAAAGTCAAGCGAAATTATTTGTTCACAATTGACAAATCGCTCAAAATTATTATTTAACTAAACGCAGTACGTTTGACCTTGATAACTGTTGTATCGTTGGTATTCTCTTTTTTTGGACGTATATTTCAATGGGTTTGTCTCACCGTTCTCTTCATTTTGATAGCATTTGATTCGACAATAGTTTATCTTGAAGGTTGAAAGCGACATTTTAACCAAGCGTACGAAACAACTGCCGACCGACAGGTTTACGCCGAAAAGTTTTATTCGTTGTGCACCGCAATTTAGTACTGTGGCTGGTCTTATAAAAGCATAGTTACCACTTTGCAGTCTTTATATATCGACTTTATTTCATAATTTTCATTGCATCGCTGTCTTTGACAGTTTTGACTTTGTATTTCTGTCTTTGTCGGGCTATAAGATGTCATTTTGACTGCTTAACAGGATTTACTTGGCATTAATACATCTCCAAATTCATTATTCTTTTCGTTGAATTCTCATTGCCGTAAAAAAGCAGTTTTAAAAGAACGTAGTACAGGAGCTTTGGCATTTTTTAGTAAAATTCTTGAATTTTTCTCAAAACTTAGGGTATTTATGGATAATTTGGGTAAAAATTGGCAGGAGCCTTATGGATAATTTGGGTAAAATTTGGCAGCTCATTAACATTCTATTTTGCGGAGAAAAATGTTAGCCGAAACCTATACTCGCCAGGGCACAGTTCCCCAGCGAGTAATAAAGCACAAATAAAACACAACGAAAACTTCGATTTACCTGTTCAAAGTCATCACACGAATTGAAACTTGAAGCTAAGGAAACAAATTCCTCGAAGTTTCCATTGTATTGTATTTCACAAACATACTTAATTAGCGGCTCGCAATTTTATAAAAAAATATAACAATTAATAGAATATATATTAATAGAATACTATTGAAACATAATAAACAAGGCTAGGAAATACAAAACAAGTGAAACTCCAAAAATCGATAACATTTTTATTTATCTACGTTTCGACTATATTTCAGTCATCATCAGGATAAACTAGCTACGTTATATATCAAAAGCGGTATTTATATGAAGAAATATGATACAATAGTAGGTTGATTATTAACGAATTAATGAAATATGATTAGTTCTTTAGAAGCTTTAAGTCCATGATTAAGTTCAGGTTTATATCTTTGAATAGCGAGGGATTATTGATATAGTAAAAGGGACCAATGGTTAGATTTATCAATTATTTTAGTGTTGTTGAAAACATGTTCAGCCATTATACTGGTTTGATCAGACTTTGCGTCATCGTCGGCATAAAGTTCTAAAAGGGCTTTAATATGTTGAAACTGTTCGCAAGTAGAGAGGTGTTGATGGATTACAGATTCAGTGTGATATGAATGTTCCTTAGTTCTGGTGTATAAGCAGCGATCAGTTTTGCCGATGTACCTACTATTACATCCAGGGCAAGTAAATTCATAAACTACAGAGCTTTGATAAGTTTTCGGGGTTTTATCTTTGCATGACACAAATACGTTGCTGTTAATGGTTTTCCAGTTAATAATGAATCGGCATTTTAATGAGGAGAGGGGTTATTTTGTGTATCAACGAACGAGTTAGTCTTTCACCAAATTTGCCAAGATAGGGTAGCTGTAACCAGATATTAGGAGTTTTGTTTGATTCAGTCATATTTCATCATATTTATTTTTTTTTTTTATTATTTTTTTTTTTATTTATCATATTTATTTATTTATTTATTTTTATTTATTTATTTATTTTTTTATTTTTTCATCATATTTCATTAATTCGTTAATAATCAACCTACTATTGTATCATATTTCTTCATATAAATACCGCTTTTGATATATAACCTAGCTAGTTTATCCTGATGATGATTGAAATATAGTCGAAACGTAGATAAATAAAAATGTTATCGATTTTTGGAGTTTCACTTGTTTTGTATTTTATTAAAATACTTAGTGGTTCTAAAAATTTAAGGCTAGGAAGACCTGACAACTTCCAAAATTTATATATTTATCCAGGATACCACGTCACCGAAGTGTTTTTCAATGGGATCCTGCATTATAAATTTCAACTTCAATACATCTATATTACTAGAAAATACATGCATGCAGAAACCCTCGCCTTGCTGACAAAACCATTGTATTTTCCGAACATGAAGTATCTAAAGTTGTTGTCATGGTAACACGATAACTTTTTAAGAATATTCTTACATGTCAAATGAAAAATCGCCTAAAAATATCACTTTTAATTACAAAATGATCAATTTATATATTCAGGGTGTATAAAAAAAAGCGCAATCCTCGACTGAAATGTAAATTGCTAAACAAATAATAGACGAAAACGTTGAAGTTTACATTCATTTTAAAGCGTAGCCATTCAGCTTTCTAACAGTGGGTTGTTTCTTAAATTTGACTCATTGGTTCGCGGGTAATAATATTTTACGTTATTGCGAGTGGAGATTAAAAAATTGAGATGGAATAACAAATCGTTCTCATGAAAATAATTGATTTTTTCATTAAAACAAAAAAATGTTGCATTTTATTAAATGGATTGTAAGAATAAGTATAATTACGGCTTTTCTTCCACTATTTTTAACTCAGTTTGAAACTTCAAATGCGATATAATTTTGGCTTGGACCATCTAAGCTGACTGACATCAACTTGCTATAATTTCTGCTTACATTACATCGCAATTCGATGACACTCTGGTTCAGACACCAGAGTGTTTTGACGATTTTTAGCATTCGTTTAGGATTTTCAAACAACCTGGTCTCCTTTAAAATACTTTTAATTTGTTCTTACGTGGTTTTCCAGATGTAGTGACGACAACATTAAAGTTTAAAGAAGAAAATTCTAACATTTAAACCGACTAAACAATAACATAGTAAACTTGCATAATTAAACAGCAACAAAAAATGATAGGTTTCACTAAATCTTTTCCTGTGCAATTATTACTAGCATTGGAGACAAGAATAATAGCTTGTTTGAAAGAGAAAAGAACAGGCTTTGAAATAAGCCTAAAAGCGTTTAACTAGAAATAGTATTTCGAAAGTTATTAAGCACAAGGATGAATTGCGTTTATTTCGTTTATTCTTCAACCACCAATGAGATCAGGTGAACCATGCGGAACAGCCAATCAGACGGTCTCGACGTATGCAAGAACGTAGATTACAAATCTTCTATATGTACATATATATATATATATATATATATATATATATATATATATATATATATATATATATATATATATATATATATATATATATATATATATATATATATATATATATATATATATATATATATATATATATATATATATATATATATATGTATATATATATGTACATATAGAAGATTTGTAATCTACGATTTGTAATCTATATTATATATATATATATATATTCCGCAACAGTCTGTTTCATCAGTAAAGAATCATGACTGTTGCGGAATTTTGAAACAGACTGTTGCGGAATTTTGAGGTAAGCGAAATTATATATATATATATATATATATATATATATATATATATATATATATATATATATATATATATATTTCGCTTACCTCAAGATTCCGCAACAGTCTGTTTCATCAATAAAGAATCATCAGGCGGTACCGCGGATACCGCCTGACGATTCTTTATTGATGAAACAGACTGTTGCGGAATTTTGAGGTAAGCGAAATTCGACATTTGGTCTATCTTTATGATATTGAGCACTCTTTGCGTTTCGTATACACAAACCTACTGATATATATATATATATATATATATATATATATATATATATATATATATATATATATATATATATATATATATATATATATATATATATATATATCGGGTGTCCCAAAAAAAATACTCCGGTTTGATTTATAATAACTTCTAAAGAAGTAAAGCTATCAAACAGAAATAACTTGCATTAAATAGAGGAAGGACTGACTTAGATTTTTGATATATTACAGTTGTATTTTACTTAACAATTCGCGGAGATATTAATGTTCAAAATAGGGAGCATATTTTGGGATGTGTCTAAAATTAGCGAAAATCAGCATATATATCAAATATTAACTCCAGCGTTTGTTTGCTTAATGACATATCAGGCTACCTGTATTTCAGCAAATTGTCGTTAAATTAGGGTTTGTAAGGGGTATGGCATAGATTTAGACATCTTAACATGCATGCATGTAAGTCTTAGCTCATTGTTTTCTAAAATATGAACGTTCGAAATTATGCAAGTATTTAATAGGTCTTTACAAACTTAAAGGTACATGAAAGACCATGCAAGACAGGCGCATAAATTTTTCTTAAATAGCCTAATTTTTTATGTTTTTCATGGGTTCAAAACAGAGTTGATTATTTCTTGGTTAGAGCAGAATGAATATTATTCTTTAATGAAGGAAATAATATAGCTTTTTGCAAATACACATCTCAGTATCAATAACGCTACTATTTTGTTACGTTTTGTTCCAAAAATGTTGGATGTCTCTGGGGAGTTGCTTGTTATGTCTTATGGAGTTGTATGGTTTGATTGTGTTTCATTCTCAGTTTATTATGAACTTAACAAGATTAAGAAAAGGTAAAAGAGTTTGGGTGTTCTTAACAAGATTTCAGAACGTTACAGAAGTTAGAAGAGCTTCACAATTTAATGTGACAGCATGCCCTAATTCCGAATAACACACGTTGTCTTTGGAAGACTATTCGATCATGCATCCCTAACAAATCAACATGTCAAAGATCGTTTACTATAAAGGATGATATTTTAGTTGCAAACGAGTTTAACACTTTCTTTTCTTCTATTGGACAAACAACTATAGAGAAAATCAAGTCGCTTGCGGATGAATGTAAATATGACCTAACGAAATCGGTTTTTATACCTCGGACATACGCTGAATCTGAACAATTCGTTTTTCAGACGGTTGAATGTAAACAAGTTCATGATATTATAAACTCCATGCCCACAAATAAGTCTCCTGGGATTGATAAGATTCCAATGCGAGTTATCAAAGACAGTCTGCCAACAGGTGGGAAATTTGTCTGAGCATGCGCGAGCAAAATGAGTCACGCAATTGAGTGGAATACACGCAACGCGTGTTTACAAAAAGGCAAAAAAGTGTAAATATTGCCAAATGTTTGTACAAAATAAATGACTGTTTTATGTTGAAAATGGACATGATATAAATTAATCATACATAATTTTTTGGTGACGTTCTATTTCAGTACCCTGCCATTGTCTCTGGTGGGCTGTCTGTGTGCATTCGATCTGAAACAGTTGCTACTTTGCTGTCGAAAAATTTCGAATGTTTACATGGAGGCAAGTAATGCATTTTACAACCTCGTAAACTGTATGAGCCCCTATTTTTACGCTTATACCTAAGATATCAAATGAAAATACATGAAACAGAGAACATTTTTAGAAAGTTTTATTGTGAGGCCACGGCCAGTTTTTAAAATATCTTTATTTCTGTTCCGGTCATCACCAAAATTACACTAAAGCCGGGCTTGAATATACAACAAATTTTGAATCTCATCAAGTACAAAAATATTTAACGTGTAACCAAAATATGCTCATGAAATCGAAATTAATAGCTAAATTTTCAAACTAGACCCTTCTCGAGCCGGTTTTCATGAAGGAAGTTCACATTTCGGCCTTTGATTCTCGGCAAAAATTTGACCACAACACGTGCGAAGCAAATGGGTCTCAAAGACTCAGCTAAAACATTGCGAGCCCCTATTTTCCTGACGATATGTTTGATCATGGGCGTACCGGAAGGAAAAAATTAGGGGGGCGGAAAGAAATTTGCCAGACTTTTCGCGATTGTTCCCCACTAGTACCTAAAAAAATTTTTCCGGAAAAATTATTTCGGCGAAATATATATATATATATATATATATATATATATATATATATATATATATATATATATATATATATATATATATATATATATATATATATATATATATAGTAATGTACGTCTATTAATAATTAACGAACGTATTACGACTAGTTTATATTTAGAATATGGACATTATATATTCAGTTGTTTATATGTAGCCGAGATATCAAGAAGTCTATTAAATAAGAGAATATTATAATGGCGACGAAGATAAAGTAGATAAACGTATTCTATTAAACGAAACGATGGTGGAAGAGCAGGCAGAGCCTCAACCACTGCAGCAACCGGCTGTACAGATCATGCAATCTGTAACAATAACTCCAATGCCAGAATTTTGCCCAGATGCAAAAATCGGAACAAGCCTTTCGACAAGATGGAACAATTGGCAGTCAGACTTCGAAATGTATATAACCGCAAGTGGAATAACGGATCCAAAGCGAAAACGTGCACTCTTGCTATATCAAGCCGGACCGAGAGTTCGCGAGATTTTTAAACAAATCCCCGAGACAGGAACTGATACGGACTACGACATCGCGAAACAGAAATTAAAGGCTTACTTCGACCCTCAAAAGAATCGGCGGTACGAAGTTTATCGTTTTCGACAAACAACTCAAGAACACAATGAGACATTAGATCAATTTCACACCAGACTTAGAACAATGTCAGAAACCTGTGAATTCGCAGACGTTGAATTTGAAATCGAAGAACAAATCATTATAGGCGGAAATTCATCAAAAATACGAAAGCGAGCACTGCGTGATCCTACATTTGACTTAAAATCAATGCTTTTAGAAGGACGTCGTGACGAACAGAGCAAGTATCAAGCTGAACAAATTGAATCTAAAGAACAAACTGACGGTGAGGCTAATAAATTAGAACAAAAACCTAATAACGGTAATATTTCGAACAGTAGTAATGTTATTT